GACATGGTTAATGAGTACTTTAAATTTAATGAAGCAGATAATTTCTATCCCGGAAATAATGTATTAGGCCTATTATTAAAAAATTTATGCTTATTAACAGTTAAAAAGCCTGATAACGATAATATTATGAAAGAAATTCCTATGAAAGAGCGTCAGCAAATTTACTTGTTTCTTAGAAACTTAGTGTTCGATGAAGACGGAAATCATGAGCATTGGTTTATATATAATAGCAAAAAACAGCTTATTGATACGATAAATGAATACCGTACCATCAATGATCATTCTAAGAAAAATGAAATTGAAGACTATGCTTCATCGCTTATTCGTGATGTTATTAACATATTTTATTTTCGAAGATATACATGTGAACGAATTATAAATTATATGTGGATTAAAAATAACGAGCCAATAGATCCTCTCTCTATGAATGAAGTTTGGGATGACGATGTCAACGTTGATAATATGGTAGTTCAATTTTGCTCATTTCCACTTTTTGGAACGGATTTAGAAAATTTAGATAAAAGACAAGCATGGTTTCGAGCACACGTTATTACCAAAGAAAAATCTCTTGTAGACTTAAATAAGTTGCTAGAGACTGATCCAAACAATATACTTAAATTAAGATTACGCGAAGAAGTTTATTTTAAAATGGGTAAGTGTGGGGAATCACTTGAAGGCTTAACACAATTCTTAAAAATTCATCCAAATAATACACTGGCGTTAAGCATGCGAGGAGCAACTTATCGCATAATGAAAAGATATGAAGATGCACTAAAAGATTTAAACAAATCGATAGCAATTTACCCATATGATACATTTGCATTACGTGTCCGTAGCGCAATTTATCGAACAGAGAAAAAATACGTTGAAGCACTTTTAGATTTAAACAACTTATTAAAGATTGAGCCGAACAATGATGCTGCATTAAGTAATCGTGGTGAAATTTATAGAATTATGAAATATTACAAAGATGCGCTTTCGGATTTAAATGAATCATTAAACGTTAAACCAGACAATGCAAATGCATTAGCTAATCGCGGCGAAGTTTATCGAATGATGAAAAGATATGCAAATGCAATTTTAGATTTAAACGCATCATTAACGATTCAACCAAATAATGTGCTTGCGTTGAGTAATCGTGCAGAAATTTATAAATTAGAGAAAAGATATGAAGATGCGCTTTCAGATTTAAATAGATCATTAGATCTGAAACCAAATAATGCATTTATATTAAATAATCGTGGAGAAATTTATCGACTTATGGAAAGATATAATGAATCATTAGCAGATTTTAATAAATTATTAGAAATTGAACCAAATAATCCATTTACATTAATTAACCGTGGACAAACTTATCTAATGATGAACAGATATGAAGATGCACTTTCAGATTTAAATCAATCACTAAAAATTAAACAAGATAATGCATTTGCACTAAGAATCTGTGGGAAAACTTATCAAATGATGAACAAGTACAAAGATGCGCTTGCAAATCTGGCCAAATCTTTAGAATTAGAACCAGATAATGCATTAACATTAAGTATTCGTGGTGATGTTTATCGAATAATTGGCAATTATAAAAAAGCACTTGTAGATCTTAACAAATCATTAGCTATTAAACCAGATGATGCATTTGCATTAAATGTCCGTGGAGAAGTTTATCGAATAATTGGCGAATATATAAATGCGCTTGTAGATTTTAATAAATCACTGGCTATTGAACCGTATGATGCATTTACGTTAAGTAACCGTGGAGTCGCCTTCCGGCTTATGGGTAGGTATGAAGATGCCCTTTCAGATTTAAACCAATCATTAATGATTCAACCAAACAATGTGCTTGCGTTAAGTAATCGCGCAGAAATTTATAAAGTAGACAAGAGATATGAAAATGCGCTTTCGGATTTAAATGAATTATTAGATCTTAAACCAAATAATGCGTTTATATTAAATAATCGTGGTGAAGTCTATCGACTTATGAAAAAATATGATAAATCATTAGCAGATTTTAATAAATCATTAGAAACAGAACCAAATAATACATTTACATTAGTTAATCGTGGACAAACTTATTTAATGATGAACAGATATGAAGATGCACTTTCAGATTTAAATCAATCATTAAACATTAAACAAGATAACGCATTTGCATTAAGAATCCGTGGAAAAACCTACCGAATGATGGACAAGTATGATGATGCACTTGTAGATTTGGCGAAATCTTTGGAATTCGAACCAGATAATGCATTAGCATTAAGTATTCGTGGTGATGTTTATCGAATAACTGGCAATTATGAGGCAGCACTTGAGGATCTTAATAAATCACTAGCTGTTAAACCCGATGATGCATTTGCATTAAGTATCCGTGGAGAAGTTTATCGAATAATTGGCGAATATATAAATGCGCTTATTGATTTGAATAAATCATTGGCTGCTGAACCGGATGATGCATTTGCATTAACTTGTCGTGGTGTAATCTTCCGGGTCATGAATAAGTATCATGATGCGCTCATAGATTTAAACAAATCATTGGCAATTAAACCAAATAATGTACTTGCGTTAAATAACCGTGGAGCAGTCTTCCGAGTTATGAATAGGTATCATGATGCACTCTTAGACTTAAACAATTCATTAGCGATTCAACCAAATAATGTATTTGCATTAAGTAATCGTGGCGCGACCTATCGAATGATGAAAAGTTATCCATGCTCAATTCTAGATTTAGACAAATCGATAGAACTTGAGCCAAATAATACATTTGCATTAATTAACCGTAGTCTAACGTATCGGATGTTAGGAAGATATGAAGAAGCACTTGCTGATTTAAATAAATTAGAAGAAATTGAGCCGAAGAATGCATTTATATTAAGTAGTCGTGGAGAAGTTTATCGAATGATGAATAAATATGAAGAGGCACTTTTGAATTTAAATGAATCATTAAACATTGAACCAAAAAGCGCCTTTGCATTAAGTACTCGTGGGATGACTTACTTACATATGAACAGATACGAAGATGCACTTAATGATCTTAGCGAATTATTGGAGATCGAGCCCGACAATGTGTTTGCATTAAACAATCGCGGAATAATTTATCGTGTATTACATAAATATGATCGATCACTTTTAGACCTCAGTAAATCGCTAAAGATTGAACCACATAATGCATTTACATTAAGACAACGTGGAATGACCCTTTATATGTTATCAATGTATAAAAATGCATTGTCTGACTTATCCAAAACACTAATACCAGAAATTAGAAGCAACGCATTTAATTCAAGTGATCGTGAAGAATGGTAAGTATATTGGGCGGTTAAAGAGATACTAAAAAAGTATCAACCATAATACTCTTGAATGATAAAGTGCCACACTATAATGATGTCTATTTTTAAATTCTGTGAATTTAACATTGCTATCACATATTGAAATAAGATAGAGTATTATAAAAATTTAACACAACTTGCTGAAAATATATCAAACTTTTGGAACTCTAAAATCATTCAAACGTTGGTACACATAAAAAAATTATAATTTTCTTTTTTACTTTGTTTTTTATATTAACTTCGCAATCCCCAATAAAATCAGAATTTAATGTAAATAAAAATATTAAGAACAAAGTATATGTCATATTATTATCTCTTGAATTGTAACTAATTATTTATTATTAGTGAAGCTTTACCCTTGAAGTTAAATCCAATATTATTAGTCAATATTAAATATCGATAAATAAACATGGATCACATTAGAGGTTCAAG